CTACCGATAAAATCACTACTTTAACCACCTAAGCGACATAGTCTTGTTCAACAACTACTGAAGGCCTCGAAATCTACCCAAATTGAACTCAGCTACCCTTTGAGAATTCAGTCTCAATCTTGAATTAAAACATGATGATTAGAAGTAGCGCATCACTTCTTCCGCTTTGCTGTGAACTCGTTCCAGAATGTCATTCCAGTTTAGAAGCGGAGAACTCACAAGTCCTTGCTTTTGGTAAGCGAGTGATCAAGAGATGGAGATGACGCCAGATTCGTCTTTCAGAGTTGGCCCGATTGCGAGGTTGATGATGAGGATGGTTGTAAATACTTTGTCCACTGGTGCCAGTATACTCTTCTTTGCCAGCCTATAATGTCCCATTAGATTGGGTGTTATCAAGTTTGTGTGCATTCCAATTGTCAAGACTTGTTGCTACTTTTGAGGGGAAAGAGATCTCTCCGCACGAATGTCCAGTGGATTACAGGGGCTCTTATTTCCTGTCCATCTGCAAAAGCGGTCACTTGATGCCGAAGCGTAAACAATCTATTTTATGACTGGAGTGGGTGATGGGGACCTGACAACGGCTCAGGCAGGCATCTGAACCTTGGGCAGCCCATCTCGTAAAAACGGTGCAAGTGTGGTGTCCACTCTTCCCGCTGCCCAAACCATGCACCTCCCGATACCCAAAGTTCTCTGATTTGCCGGCACAACGCTCCATTCTACTAGTTGCCAGAGAAGTCAGATAACACGAAGTAGTGCTCAATCACCGGAGCTCTATCTCTTCTCTTGAATGAAAGTTTGCTGTTTATCCGGCCCGACAACCGCGGCCCGGACTTCCGTGTCTGGGCCTGTTTGTCGGTGAAGCGAGTCTCTTGCCTCCTTCATTAGTTGGCCATTTCGCCCACCCTCTGGCGTCCTTCCCTCCTCGGTTCTCCTAATTATTAAGCTGAAGAAAAAAGATACTCTGAGTGTTATCGCTGTTCCGTGAAAATTAAGACTTTTTGATAAACCGGCCATTGGAAAACTGGTAGGTGCCCAATGGCACCTCTGCACGGTCGTCCAGAGGCTGGACACTGTTCGTTGGCACGTAAGTTGGCTAAATTCATGACGCCAATGCAAACATGCAAAAGATGTCCAAGACATGATATCCGACCGGCAGCAAAGATTTTATTCAAGTTGGTCCGCACAAGCTTGAATGTACTGCCGGGATATCCACATTCCCTGCCCTACTGGAACTACTGCACTTTTGCCGGTGTGCACCGATGCAATGTAATTTTTGTTGTGAAGCCCTCGGGCCTAGAATGTTTTCGTCAATTTGTCACTTAATAGTTTAAATTTATAGAAATATAAACATGAACAGAATGATGTAAAGTGTCTTTATGAGGAGAAAATTGATTGTACCCTAAGAAAAGAGCCGATATTTATAGGCATTACTCATTTAATTCAGCTAAAAAAAAATTTTATTGCCTATTTTTCGCAACTTTCTCATATCGCCAGGGTGACTTAGAAGTGTCTAACTTGCTCAGCATCTAGGGCCATAGTTGTCATGGTAATTTCCAGCATCATTCTGTAGACTTGGTACCGTATTATGGGACTTAACCTGACTCTGGAGACTCGTAGCCTGATGCTAAGAATAATAGGATTTGTTGATTGTCCCTTAGGATGTAGGCAAAATTTTGAAAGTGTCCTCATTCCGCATTCAGATGCTGCAACTTCTCATGGCAGAGGACACCCGAAACGATCACGTCGTAGGAACGAAGTTAGAAAACGAAAAGAGACGGAAACCAAAATATAGACGACACTATTTTGGCTTTCTTACTTACAATCTCAATTATGATTTGCCATCGATGGGTTTTGCATACAATGAACACTAATTGACATATGTT